GTACATGGGAGATGATGTTACAGATGATGACGTAGAGATAGGAACGATGTGGTTGTATTAGGTTTTGTATGTTAAAACGCACAGGTGGACTTTTAACAGCTAATTCTATTGATTACATTCTTTTTTTCAGACTGTGCCTGACAAATGAAATATTCCAAAAGAGAATACATGGAAATAAAAATAAAATCACTTACTGTGTGAGAAATTAGGTAAATAAAAAACACAGTCTTTTACGGTAAAGAACAAAAATTTATAGTAGGCCTATGAGTATAAGAAAACAACACAGGCCTGCAGACTGATTGAAAATTGAAAAATTCTGTGAAGACGTGTCAAACAGGTGCTTTCAGTGATTTCATACTGATCAGGGAGTTTCTAAGAGCTTGGAGCAGATGGTTTCTGTTCTGTAAACACAGCTAAAAGGGAGTTTGGACTTCTTGAATGGCATCTGCATTAACTGTTTTGCAAAAGGGTGTAAAACCTGTCAATCCAATGAGAATGGGTTAAYACATTGCAAGGGGTGTCTTCTGCTCTGCTGAGTTGGTGATGATGAAGACTGAGAGGTTCCCAGTTTCTTCCAACATGTCAAAGCAATCAATAAAAATTGTAAATAACAACAGTATTTATTTATTTTATTTAATGCTTAGTCGCTTTGTTAATGCAAAAATAGCTGTAGTATTTTATGAAAATTTTAATTTCTCCTCTCACCGTTCAGTTGTGCGTTCATATTCTAATGTTTGCAAATATGTTTTCAAAACAAGATGGAGATGTTTTTTTTTTATTTCAGTATTTATTTATTTTATTTAATGCTTAGTCGCTTTGTTAATGCAAAAATAGCTGTAGTATTTTATGAAAGTTTTAATTTCTCCTCTCACCGTTCAGTTGTGCGTTCATATTCTAATGTTTGCAAATATGTTTTCAAAACAAGATGGAGATGTTTTKTTTTTATTTTTATTTTTATTTTTTTTATTTAATAAAGAGAAGCGCACTGGCAGTACAGAATTATTTTTCATTTCTGGGAGGGGGAGGGCACCACAAAGCTGTTAGGCCTCCCTAGCACCGGGCCTGTTGGCTCGTTTGTCTGTCATCATAGCGATTGGCTGACTTCTATTGTGTGGTCGCATGATGATAGGCTAGATCCGGTGTGACATCGGCTAAACCTTTCAACGTGAGAATGGAGAGGACCAACTTCATTRAAAGAGAAAAGCAGACTATTGTGAGCTTGCTTCCACATTGTGTTCTGATCTGCAACAGTCGGACCTCACTGTRTGCCGAAATAGCTCAGTTGGGAGAGCGTTAGACTGAAGATCTAAAGGTCCCTGGTTCGATCCCGGGTTTCGGCAGTGTGGGACAAGTACAAACTTTGTTTGATGTCACAAATGATGTTTTTGTTTGTTTGTTTTTAATATTTGTTTTCTGCACTCCTTCATTTACTCCTACGAAAAACACAGTTTTCAGTCTTTCAGCTTTGATCAGTTTCTTAAAAATGAACTAGCTACATGTAATTTTGATATATTTACTGTTATCCGCTGCGTTAGTGCTACAAAAAAGGAATCCTAGTTAAATTTAACAGATGGGGGACAGAAGCTTGGGGTCGTCAAACTTTTTTGTCAAATACAGACTTATTTTGGTTCTCACAAGGGAACGACTTTAAACTTAAAAAAATACATTAAAAACATGTAGTTTTCAAGAATATCCACAATGGGGCAGTCTAGGCTAAAGTAGCTAAGTGGTATAGTCTGTTTTTACAAACAGCTCATCATTCGTGGGCCAGGGAACTGTCAGCAGTAATTTATAATCTTATTTTACTTTTAAACTTATTATATCATTTTTTATGTTATCCTTGCTGAAATAAAACTTGTTAAAGGTCCTATAACAGGCTACATTATTTATTTGTGTTCAAATGAAAAACATAAGTGCAACAAAGAAACAGTTTCATATTCCATATCTGAGTTTACCTTCAGAGATTTTGGTTGTTCTCATAGAGACAGATGCAGTTTCTGTTTGCAGAATATTGCTGCTGAAACTAACAGGGCATCGTGCTGAAAAGCAGATCCAGAAAAGAGAATTATAGCATCCCTTGGCAAGCAATGAGAGAAAAACTCAAGCTTGACATTTATTATCYCAGTTCCAGTTTATTAATAATCATTTTGTTTTGTTAAATGCCAGCTGGCTTTTATGTGACCTCCGAAAGAAACAAAATGCTCAGCCCATGTGTTTCTGCATCGTATAGTGTTTCCAGGAAAAGCACAGAAATAAAGGTGCAGCCAAACACCTGCTTCAGGTAGTCCCGTCTGTACACACCAGGTAGAATATCTTGTTCCATCTGTGCTGAGTTGACTTATCAGTTTATCAGCTTGCTCTCTAACAATGTGCCTGAGCTCATCTGTTCTACCTCAGAAAATTGTGAGTCGTTTTAGTGGACTTTTAGTGCTTTTCTTGCGAACAGGTCTCACAAATTTGTTCATAATATCAATTTCATCTCTTACCTGCTGGTGGAGATTATCAGACATGGCCAGTCTCTCATGAAAAGAATGTCCCACAAGATCTTAAAATATTGCATGACGTCATTTACATAGTTCAACCAAAACAGTTTTGTTTCTGTTCCTTCTCAACTGAAGATGATTTTAGTTTAAAACGCTGGCATGAACGGCAGCATTTCTTTAAAGAATGCTTGACCTTTTAATTAAATACAAACATTTCACTGCAATGTGAAGGATTTAATTTAAAAAAAATTCTCAACAATGTCTCTTAAGTGAAAACTAAAGCGTTATCGCACAACAACAAGACCAAAGGGTGTTACATAACATGCTTTTATCTGTCAGTTTGTATATCTCATCTGATGTATTTGTCACCGGCAGTAACTCGACTCGCAGCTCTCTTGCTGAGCTGAAATGTTTGGATTAAACCAAAGTAAGACAACAGCTCCCTCTTCCTGCTTTCAATCCACCACCCTGGTGTTTTCACTTTTACACAAAGTTTACAGCGGTGTTTATTTGTTCAGTTTGCTTCTCGTTCCTYCAGGTTTTATAGACATTTTAATCTCCCTCTGACAGTTGTGATAAAACTACTTGACAGTTTATTATTTACGCAGCTCTTTCCCCGGAGCACTGAACCCAGTGCACCTTCATCATGGCACATGATGTGTTTGTTTTGTGAGTGTGTGTGTGTGTGACTGCGTGTAAGGTAGGTAATTGTATAGATAGTGTTTAAACTTGTCTTTAAGTTGCAGGATGTACCTTCTATATTTAACCTGTTCTTTTTTTTTTTTTTTGGACATTTGGTTCAGTCTCTTTGTTGACTCTTTATTAGTCTGATTGCTTTGGAACTCAAAACTATTTTTTTTCTTTAAAACCAGCACTTATTTAGAAGGTGACGCCAGCTACATGCATTAAAATCAATAAATCCGCAGCTATACATTGCATTTTCTGATTTATTAACAGCACATTTGAAATCTTTTAGGAACTTCAGCAACTTGTTGCCAAAATGCCTGGGTGTAAAATTACAGTTGCTCAACAGTTCAGGGAGTATTTTTGTCTTATTTTTAGTTTATTAGAGTGCATCAAACATTCTGGCTCTGAGCTGCTGGCAGGACAGAGTTCAGCATCAGTGGAGCGCTGACTTTTTTCTTTCGTGCCCTCGTGTGTCGATATGATCTAAATTAAATATAAATATATTAATGTCTTCTTTTTTTTGTTATCTATGTAAATATATGCATATATAACCAGAAAAACCAAACATCACGCACCAAATAACCGTGTTAATAAAAGTGATTTTAGCTCAAAGCGACATTTGTTGAGCAAATTTAAGCTGAACAAGCAGCTCCTTAAACATCAACCAATGAGAAAACAGAATTAAAACCAGGAGTAATCAGCTCCAGCTAAACCAACCAAAATAAAATTCTGCCTCATTTATTGCAAGTTTAATGCTTTCCTGCAATTTTCAATCAAATATCAATTATTTGACCAAAATGTAAATACAGCC